CCGAGTTGACGATTTCCCCACCATCGGTATTATGTAAACGTTTGGGTCCGATGAGAGTTTACCGAAAAGAATTCTTCATCCTGAACTGATTTCTGATATTGATTCCTATTAATGAATTGGGAATCTTTGCTTTGCTAAAGACCACCATTGTCCGTGATTCATCAAATGACATCTTCAAAAATGCAATGGGCAAATAGCGTAATGGGTTCACCCGAGAAGCCGGCCCGCATTCTTGTGCACTGAGAGCAAACTGATAAGCGGAATCCACGATCTTTTCCGTCCGTCAGAGAATGGTTTCATGACGAAAGTTCCTCATAACTGGTTTCAACTGGCCGAAACATTCGTGGCCAAAAGCAAAGGTCGCTAATAGAGCGCAGTATCTCTACTTAGTATTCAAAAGATCGAATATGGGATGGTCTTGGCGAACTTGGAATTATCTTGGACAAATCCAGGTGATAAAGTATGCCTACAAACTGATATTTCTGCGGTGGGTAAGGTAAGAATGCTGTTTGAGAAAAAGGCAACTGCTGAATTAAAAGCCTCGCCTGCAATTCAATGAACTACAGTAGTATGACATATTATTTGTCATTGCATAAATTGGGTTTTAGCTGCCGAACTACTGGAGCTTTAGCAAATTGAGGCAAACATGTGTTACCCAATCGTTTAATTTTCCTAACCAGCAGTCTAGGATGTGCTGAACAATGAGCTAGCTAACAGCCTGGGACCATTCGCGACCATATTGCGCAAAAGGATGCTCTGAAGTCCTAGGCAATATCATTCCTCTCCGTTCCGCTTACGTACTAGCCACAAGAAGTACAATAAAAGAGTTGAACACATAAGGCGGTATCTTGAGGGACTGGTTTAACCAGGTTAAATTTATTAGCAGGTTCTTTACTTGGTGCAATAATATGTTCCGCTGCATAATACCACCTTTTTCTCATTTGACGGAGACGGTGTCGGAACCTACTGTCCTTTTGGTCCCCTTTAAACGGTAGCGTAATAAACATCTGTCTCTTAGGGACATCATTCAGTCGTTTCTGTATGCGTTCTGGTTTGGTTTTCACGCTATAAGTCTCTTGGGGTATCCTTTTTCACGTAGTGGTGTTGTTATTGCCCCAACTTGCTGCCGATAATAACTTCAGGGCAAACTTTGCCAGCTGTTACGGAGGTAGTACGAACCAATTCTCGTTTGTAGATGATAGGACAAAAGTTGTTTAAGTTGTGGTACTGTATTTCCTAAGTAGGCTTATGATACATGGATCAAATGAGCGCGCCTTCTGAATGCTTCTCGAGCTCCGCAACCAGAATGGTTGGTGTTATTTCACTGCCCATCGTGAATTTGATTGCAGAATAGCATGCATTTAGAAAATGGGTACGCTCGTTGCCTCTCGAACGTGCCGTCAAGGTAAGTACAGTACAAATGCACGCACTTTATGTTGTAAGGTAGTCAAGTCTTCCACAAGTGGCCGATAAACATAGCCAGGACTGGATCAACAGGAAGCGTGAAGCTAGGTATATCAGTTGCATTTAAGATGTCTATATTGGCAGCGACAGTGCAAATAAAAAGACGCTTGTTAATTTTTACACGGGTGCTTAGTTCTAGCAGTTGTGCGACGCTCGCTTTGGTCTATACTATATGGTACACGACGTTGAGAATGGCTTCGTTATGCGGACAGGTGTATTGCCTTCGTCGATTTGGCCAAAGTATGTTTTAATGAGTTACTTTAGTTTTTGACGAAAACAGCCAATAACTGGCAAAGGTTTTCAAGTCACAGAAACATAACAGTTTTTACGCGCACTCATACTCTCGTATGGTTATTTTAGCTTTACCACCCATTAATACCAGATATTATCGCTGCCGTTTCCTTTTAATTTTCATGCACCCTTCATGTATATGGGTATGGATGGATATGGATATATATGGATATTCCTCACGTAAATCGAAAGACTGTTTACGCAGTCCCATTTGGTAGAGAGTTGTCAACCGAGTTAGAGATTTCCCGGTTCGTCAAACTATGTTCTGCGGGATACTAAATATAAAAACTATTTCTACAGTCGTATGTTCGAAGCAGAATGATGATACTTTTGAATATTTGTGATTGACCAGTGAACAACAGACACACGGCATCTCGGTTTGGGTGGTTAGGCTATGGTGCAGTACAAAAATATCTCTTCTTAGCTAGCTCGCTTCGTAACAGTGTCAATACTTTTAGCAAATCGCAGGACAATGAACTTTCACCCCGTTACTTTCGAAACTATTTAAATATCGGGATCCATACTAAAATCTAGCCATACAGCCACCTCAGGCCTGTAAGCTTGAGTGGATCGCGCACACTAAATACACTGCGCGTGTCAGAGGAAGTTTCATTTAGACAATTCGTTTGATGTATACAGGCCTTAGTGTGTTAATATGCGCTGTTCAAGAGCGTCTCTGTCATAACAATGGAAAGAAAGCATTCCATATAACTTTTTCTCAACCTTATATTACTCGTGAGTAGCCGGATTTTAGTTAAAAGGTTTAAGACTTTCATCCCAGTAGTTCACGAAAAATATAACACGGACTAGACGGGAAAAGTACTAGACGCCTTTCGCCCTATTGCGGCTCGCTAGTTGTGCGCACTCCTCGGTCCCCTACTGGGAGACGAACAAATGACGGCTAAAAGATGGGTAGTGTTATATCCCGGTTAGCTTGCAAATTATTTCGTCTAGCCGGCATCCCCATGGCTCAGTGTCTTAAGGTGCTGGCGGGTTGGCACCTGCCTCTAGCGGTCATCGGTTCGATCCCCATTAGGGGACTGATGGAATGCGAACTGCTGACGAGCCCCAATAGAACGAAACGCGTCTGCTTCTTTTCCGGACTAAGCTGTCCTTTTTTAATAAATCCTACTTATTTTGACCGAAACGGGCCAGATTCAAAAGACGAGCAGTTTTACAAGACGTTACAAGCATTGCATTTTAGTAAGCGGTTCAGAGACTGTACTAAAAGAGTTCTACCAACAACTGTTCAACGAGAATCCGATGTTCCTTGCAGCCTTTTCCTATTATTGCCAGGTTAGGCAGGTAACCTGTAAACGTTTTCGCACTATTCAGTATCCGTACCGAATGCGGTTAAACTGCAATTATCTGGCGTCAACTATTCCACTGTTTCCATGCACCCTACTGACACCAAAGTTTAACCAATGTACCGAATATTATTTGCTTATTTTCACCTGAAGCTGTGTTGACATCTGCTTTGCTTATCCTGGTTAACACATGATATCGCAAAGAAATGGAGTTTTCAGAATTTGGAATGATGGAACCAGGAAGCAGGGATACATCTACAATTATTATATGGCAGTTATACGGTACTGTTGAACACCGTACACCGAGAAATTCTTGATGCACAACTCATGTTCATCAAGCACGAACGAATTCTACATATTTTCTTGCAATCTGGATCCACTAAAATTTGTAGCATTGAGCAAATTAGTCTGTCCTTATGTGAGTGTCTTGTAACACTTAACCTAAGCCATGGTTGAAATAAGAAAGTACTATTATAATTCCAAACAGGAAAAGCATAAGTTAAGTTGTGTGCTTAGTCAGTCATTCCATCACGCAAATAATGCTGAATGAAGAAAACGTAGTCATATGAGGCCCATAGCTAAGCAAACTGTGGTCCATCGGTGTATCTGGCGTGACTGCGATAAGTTAGGATACTGCAACTGAACCTACGGTAGTGGCTCGAGATGCACCGATTGACCAACGATTGACTAGCCATTGATCGCACATGACCACGCTTCTATATCTAGTGTTGCTCGCAAGGTTCCGATTGAAAACCATTCACGAAATGACTGAGTCATTCTACGTTAACCCTACATTGCACATTAGAAGGAAGTGCATGTCGTCATCAGTCTACCAGCTTATTTTGATATCTTTCTTTGGTAGCTCGAGCTTGTTTTGACAGGTCTACTTGTATTTCTTGAAAACCTTCCAATTTCCTTTCAGTTTACGTTGCGAGTCCTATAAATATGACGCCTTTGAAATTAATGTGAGCTGATGTGTATGTATAACATATGTTACCATGTCAAAATAATGGCTCTGACATTGTCATGATGTCTTAAATGTAAGCAACAGTTGGTTGCTTGAACTACTAGATAATCATTCTTGCAGGTACAAAATATTGATTAAGCAAGGTTGAAATCAAACTATAAGAAGTGTTAAAGTCCGAGAAGAAGAAATTAGATTATCAAGTCTTATACTTAAACCGATCCACTGGCGTTACTTTAACATGTTAAAAGCCTTATGGGTCTATTTAGACCCACCGGACTATTCGGACACATAAGGGCTTGAAACGCGAGACCGGACGAACATTACATTTTGGCGACCCTGCTAGTTCTCAAGAGCAGTCCATGACGTTCGATCGTAGAATTAGAGGCAATCATTAAACATTTCTGCTATCGTAACGCCAGTTGTTTGGTTTTCCGAGGCTATTATGCTTTGCACACTACCTATTTCAGGAATCTTATAAAACTGTGAACCGAAAGGATACTGAGTTACTCGAGTGGGTACCAACACAGATTTCTGGAAAGCTGTCAAAATACATTTATATATAAAAAATGATTTTGAAAGAGAAGACCAATTAGCAAATACATTCGTATTCTAGATTTCCCGTCTAGTTTAAAAGTTGAATCCGGCGCATGAAGAAACAAAACTCACATTCAATTTAAGTATTCTTGGTTTGCGAATAATACACTGAAGCCTTCTCAATTGTTAGTCTCACCCGTATCCGGATATTTCTTTGACTGGACGGTCAAAAACTTCGTTCATTTAAAGAAGAAAAAATATTTACGACGCACTGCCTACAGCCATTTCCAAGCACATCATATCCAGTTTTTCACAGATCCTAAGACTGAATTGCTGCTGTTGCTTCTCAATCAAAAACATTCCAATATCATAAGACTTAGCACCCAAGAGTTTTGACAATTAGAGACAGACAGTTAGAAGTGAGATAACTAGCAACAATGGAACGGTTGTGCTTGAATAGCTCTTGTAAGTACTATGCAATTTCCTGAGTCATTTTTCTGCAACTATGTCGGCTGATAATTGAAAGTGGATCACTGAAAGCCGTAGTTATTAAATAGTTATAGTAGCAGTAACAATATATGCATTACTATACGCATTACATTAGTATCCTTATTAGTATGATATGCAATGATACACGCACACATTATCATCCAACCCAATTGTACCTTTGGTATTAAAATTAATGCTCGGTATTAGATGCAAGAATTTCCTTTCATATAATCAATACCAACCTGTTTGCAAACTAACCAGTAATAAGCACGGAGATTAGCAAGCAGATAAGGCCACACTTGTTCATTATCAATCCCTTGGTGCACAGATTAATTCTATTCGTTAACTGCAATATTTGTACCGGAGCGATAGACAGGTAAGAAAATTAGTCCAAGTTATAACACTCAATAACAGGCCAGCAGATGTACCCAAAAAATGGTTGAATGCTTCTCAACTTACACTGTCCAAACCTGCAATATATATAGTTCGGTTACGCGTGGAAGTTTACTGAATCGCGTACAGGCAATCGTGATAAAAACATTTTGACTTAGAAGAAGCTAGTGAGCGTGCAAAAGATCGTTCAGAACTCCGTGGTCTATATCGATTAGGCTCATTACAAGACATGGTATTAACAATTTCCTTAACAGATAAAGGGTTTAGTGAACAACTTGGCATCGAACAAACCTTAAGAGCAACAATTGGCATCGATCACCTGGCTTTTAGTCAATGCTAGTTTACAAGTTCTAAGGTGATATATACATAAATATCGTTTAACTACAAAATGCGCAAGGTATTTGCTATGATTCTTGTAGGTACGTATTGATGTCTGCAGCTTGTGACCTACGGGAAAAACGCAATATTGATTAACTTTAAAGTGTATTTAATTTGATAAAATCACCTTTGATAACGCGAGAACGCTCCGAGCGGTTATTTCTACCGCACAGCGTTGAAACCTATGTATATCGCCAATATTCGCAAAATATTTTCAAAAACAGGTGAAGGAATTTAAAAGAGTTAGTTGTATTTATAACCTTAAAGAAGCACATGGAAAAATGTCACAAATTCTAAAATGTGTTGTTATTCCTCAAGCTAAAAGACTCAAGCGAGTATAATAACCGAATGCACATAATACGAAATTAGGTTTCCAAAAAGAAAAAACGATAAAAAAAAGTCTCGCACAAGTGAGGGAACAGTAGATGAGCCCAAATAAAACAAACCTGCGCATGATAATCAGTATGGAGACGTAGGTATATAATGATAAAGGAGGTGCTGAATAAGGAGAACGACGAGGAACGTGAAGCTAAATATTAGTGAGCATAATAAAGATCGTGGTGATGATACTGACGGTGGTGATGATGATGATGATGATGATGATGATGATGATGATGATGATGATGATGATGATGATGATGATGATGATGATGATGATGATGATGATGATGAAGATGCTGATGATGATGATGATGATGATGATGATGATGATGATGATGATGATGATGATGATGATGATGATGATGATGATGATGATGATGATGATGATGATGATGATGATGATGATGATGATGATGATGATGATGATGATGATGATGATGATGATGATGATGATGATGATGATGATGATGATGATGATGATGATGATGATGATGATGATGATGATGATGATGATGATGATGATGATGATGATGATGATGATGATGATGATGATGATGATGATGATGATGATGATGATGATGATGATGATGATGATGATGATGATGATGATGATGATGATGATGATGATGATGATGATGATGATGATGATGATGATGATGATGATGATGATGATGATGATGATGATGATGATGATGATGATGATGATGATGATGATGATGATGATGATGATGCTGATGATGATGATGATGATGATGATGATGATGATGATGATGATGATGATGATGATGATGATGATGATGATGATGATGATGATGATGATGATGATGATGATGATGATGATGATGATGATGATGATGATGATGATGATGATGATGATGATGATGATGATGATGATGATGATGATGATGATGATGATGATGATGATGATGATGATGATGATGATGATGATGATGATGATGATGATGATGATGATGATGATGATGATGATGATGATGATGATGATGATGATGATGATGATGATGATGATGATGATGATGATGATGATGATGATGATGATGATGATGATGATGATGATGATGATGATGATGATGATGATGATGATGATGATGATGATGATGATGATGATGATGATGATGATGATGATGATGATGATGATGATGATGATGATGATGATGATGATGATGATGATGATGATGATGATGATGATGATGATGATGATGATGATGATGATGATGATGATGATGATGATGATGATGATGATGATGATGATGATGATGATGATGATGATGATGATGATGATGATGATGATGATGAGGAGGAGGAGGAGGAGGAGGGAGGAGGAGGAGAGATGATGATGATGATGATGATGATGATGTTGATGATGATG